TTTTAAGTTTCTACATATATTACTTTTAGCGTGGAATAGTATTTGTTTCAAAAGCACACTTTTGTTGTTTTCCATTGGTTCTTTTGAATGTTGATTTTTCACTATACTTGGGTTGCATCTTTGGCTTGTGTACAGTGCTTACTGGTAGGAATAAGCACACTAGATATACTGCTGCATGGATCAGTTGCACACATAATTGCACATTTCACAGCTGAAAGAATGAAAAAAGTGTATATTGGTATTTTGGTATACTGAAATAGATCATAATATATGAAAAGTCACTTTCGGAAGTCTGTCTTATCTTCGTGACTTATTGCAACACTTCATATTCCATTCTGCACTCAAGGACCCAAATACATTTCAGGGTCTCCAGTCACATTTGACAGAAAGCTGGAACACACATTCTCCATTGCCTTTCAACTTACAGGCATATCTCTATGGACCGGTTTACCCGGCTAATCCAGCTTATTTGTGGAAATTGTCAATTTTCCAGCAGTGCAACCAATTCAGGTAAGAACGTAGCTTTTTTTAGGACTAGCTGCAGTGAATCATTATTGTACATTGTGATTAATGTGGACTTTTCTTCATTCAGCCCTATATTTGCTTGGACAAATACCATTGGGACAAATATCATCTAGTTAGGAATTCATTTGTAAATTAGCCAGATTTTAATTTTTAAAGTTTGTCTTAAATTTGCTAGTATTATAATGATTTGATTAAGTGATATATGCATCCAGTTACTTTTTCAATAGAACCTTGCAATAGAAATTAAACTGTAAAGTACTTCTTATAGTTATTAGCAATATTTTTGCTGAATTTTCTAAAAATAGCCCTTTTAATTTCTTAAATTAAATCTGCTACTATTTTGAAAGGCGCTGCTTGTAATATTAGCTACCTTTATAATGTGTGTCCACTACCACCACATCCTTTCAACTAAACTATTTTAGATTAGTTCCCTGAAATCGATTTTTATTGTTTACCAGTTGTTTGCATTAAATACATTTACACTTAGATGGCTGTAAAGTTTTCCAGTTCTAATTTGCTGTCCATGTATTTATGTTCACCCACATTTTTCCACAATGAATTGTTGAAACTTGGAAAAGAAATACGAAAGAAATGTTAGTAATTTCCAAATTGAAACATGGAAATTTAAAATAACCTAATCCTAACTAGTTTTTGTAACAGTTCATTGTGAATAACTGGCTTATCAAATATAAATTTTTCAATGAAAAAAAATAGTTCTGCACCTATGAAATTGTATTTAAAATGAAGTTAGGGTTCTTGAGGACCCTGTTCTTTCAGTCTTTTAATTTTCAGAAACTGAAGTGTTTGTTTTGTAGTATCACTTCAACGAATTTTGGTTTAAAAAATTGTGCCTATTACGTCACATGACAAAACTTCAAAAAACATCCATTTGGCTCGAGCGCTCCACTGTAGTCGGAAGATGGCTAATTTGAATGTTTATACAAAAATCGTTGGACGATTTCAAAATTCGAGGGACGTTACGGCTTCTTCTGTCATTTTGCCCAGGGAAGTTTATTACACGGAAACAATAGAATGTCAACAAAATACAATCTTTTGGCTACTTATTTTTTTACGTATTCATCGTCATTGATACATTTGCTATACAACGAAATCAATTTCAAGATACCGTCCATGCAATGACAGGTGCCCAGCGATTTCAGGAAGTTCTGCGTAGCCTACGGGCCCTTATCGTTGCTTCCAAAGTGGAGTCCTACGTATGCCGTCTTCAACGCGGGGAAAGGAGTGGAGGTCTGGAGAGGCAAGAGAGGGACTTGTTTCTTGCGTGGAACGGCGGACTTCAGTTTGAGTATATGGCAGTAGCCGGTTTGAGTGTCCCTGCAGTTCGGAAATCAAGCAAATTGGCTCTTTGCACTCCAGAGCATAGTGGACATATAATCTTCCTTACGAACAGCGACACTGAATTCATTCGTGGCGGGTGGGCGAGAAGTGTCATTGAGGCGGCACTGAGAGTAAATGGTGCACCCAAGTATCGTTGGCTGTGATAATCCCGAATAGTAGACCAACATCCTTGCTCTCGCTTTCGTACATCATTTATTTTTTTACGCCAAAAACAGTTAAAAACTGTGTGACGGAGGTTTGTCATACTTACTCTTGTGATCAGAAGGCCTCTTGCCAGCCATTTGACCGACCTCTTCCGATATCCCTGTGAAAGAAAGAGAGAAAATGAAGAAAAACATACTTTGAGTATTCCTCGTAGCTGAAATTTCACCATTTTCAATTCAAAAGCACTTTAAAGGCTTGAAATATCTACTTGAAGAATCACGCTTCGAACAGTTAACTTCATTAGATGCAGTGTTGCCAGATGGTCTCAAAGCATTACGCACGAGATAGCGCTGCGAAAATTAATTCAAAAGTTTTTTATGTCGTGTTTAAAATATGGAAATTGGTATGGTATGGAAAATAAATACGAAAATTATTACGAATTGTATAAGATATTTATATTTTAAAGTAAACACATTTTTGGGATACAAAAATATAACTTTTTACATAATGTACGTACGTATATATACTGTCCGAATAATTTGCGGCTGACATAACAGAAGTGGTTCAGTTATCCAATCAGAGGCATCAAATTCTTATGACGTTCCTGCTGAGTTGCCGGTGCTTAAGAAAATGTGAAATCTTGCTGAGCGAAGCAACTGAAAATTGAAGAGCGCTATTACTATTTTGGTTATGTATCGTGTGTGCGCTGCTGTGTCGTCTATTGTGTGCTCTTATTGCGATTTGTTTCTTGCTACTGCTAATACTGTTATGATCTGAATAACGACCCGTGTCTGTCGCGCTTGTAAGTGGCAACATCGCTCTACCCCACCTCCAGCTGTCAAGTACACAGGACTCTTATTTGGTGTAAGTTTTGTTTTAGGTGGTTTCACGCTGTGCACGAGTTACGAAACTTTAGAGGTATTTGTCTCACTGATTGTAATGACTGAAAAAGAGATGACCTCTCTTTGTAAAAAAAACTCCTTAGTTGTTTCCATTACTTGATTATTGCTGTAATTCGTTCCTTTTTATAAATTGTGTGGCCCTCTTTTACCAATCTTTGGTTGTTACAACCTCCCAATTTTAAACTAGGGAATTCAGTTAACTAATTTTACACGCCTGTAAGTATTTTCATTACGTTTAGATATATTAAAGAAAAAACGGGCGTCCAGAAGAGGGAGGGGCCGACTTCATTGCAGCTCCTATTTTTTTCATTCATAAGAAATGAAAAAATATTAAACGTTAACCCAAATTTAACGTTATGAGTTAGTTGATGCATGCAGAAATGAATTATGTTTATTAGGGAACAAGGGAATTTTTTGTCTTTCATGAGGGTCCCCCTTTAATCAACTTCCCCAGACCCCTAGTTTTCTTCGGGCGCCCTTGAATATACCTGCAATAATCATAAGGAACTATTGGTGTCTTTTGTGATACACAATAGATTTAAAAATAAAAATGACTCCCTCCCCCAAATAAATTTGCTTCCTAGAAAATACATTAAAAGCTAAACTTTTTATGGGGAAATTCCCCAACTTGGCAATATTGCTTAGATGACACATTTAAGTCCGTCAGTCACGAGGCAGGACAAACTAGTTAGACAATTGCCTCGTTAGCGAAGTGGAATGCATACTTTATTCAAAATGAAATTAAAAAAGAAATCCTGACTGAAATGGGCTAAAGCTAAATCTGACGAATTATTGAAGGTGAAAGATAATGAAAAGCCTTGTTCAGCGCTTTTTTTGTGTATTTTAATTACAATTTCATTCATACAGAATTTTATGTGATAATGTAGTTTTTTTTTGCAAGGCTAATTATTGCATTGGCACATGTGGTGGTCGTGAAAAACTGACAAGTAAACAATTTAACGTTTGAGGAAAATAATGTAAAATTCTAAAGACGCTCCAGAATTCTGGTATTTTTCTGACTTGTGCAGGATCAACGTCCGATTGAATTGACTTTTTCATTCCCATCTCCTCCTGTCTTGCATTGGTTGTTACTTGCAGTCGCTAAAGGTTAAGAATGCCAAACCACAGTCCTATTCTTCTCATCGGATGCATCGTTACAAGACTGCACGTATGAAAAGCGAAGATTGAAATACATTGTTTTGCATTATCTGTAGCATTAAAAAACGATAAAATTGTTGATGTATTGAAATGCATTTATACAGTCATACTGCATAAAACAGTGGTGTATCTTTAAAATGTAATATTTTTTCACGTCTTAGAATGGTAATGGACCAGGCTGTATTTTTTCCTTTCTTGAAAACACATCCTTGCGCAGATGTGCGTACGTATCAAACAAAATTATCTGCTCATAATCACTTGATTCAAGTATAGATACTTAGAAAGGTGGTGACGCTGAAAACATTACTAGACGTTCGGCATTTTGTAGCCTTCAAATTATGGTTTTTATGCAGTATTGGCGAATAAGAGTAGTATAAAAGTTTCTTTTTCGGCATGAATTTCCGTTAAGTGTTTTACATGAGTGAGCCATTTTGGAGGATCACATGACCATGTATTGTGTTCGGAGATTAATCAACTTGCCGTACCCGCAGGGAGTACCTTTTTCTTTTTCTTTTTTTTCAAATATTTTCCTAATTTATTCTTGCCCCTAAATTTTCATAAAATCTATTAGATGAAATGTTTTACTATATTGAACATTGTCGATTTCATTCTTGATCAGCAACAAGATGAAATACCGCCTCTCCCTCCCCCGCTCCTCTCTCCCTCATCGTTTCCCACTCATTCCATCTTTCCTTTTTTACTTAATAACGCTCGTCGATAAAATTTAACGTTTTGTCTAAATGGAATAGAATGGCTGTTTCAAATGTCAGATGGTGATCTGATTTCAAATTTGCAGAGCATTTTTTTGTAATAGGCAAAGCCGTCTTTGTAGTAATTATAAACTCTATACTGTTGTAAAGTGATTGGATTTATTTACTTTGCTTTCATAGAATCTCAATCAAAATGTGTGCAGTAGTCTTCATAGTCTGCAAGCATATTTCGATTCCATTTTCCGTAATAAGTTTTTCCATTGTTGCAACGTCTTGGTGGAATCGTTGTGTTTGGCGCTCACATCGCCGATAATTTCAAGAAAGAAGTCTGTGTGAATCCAGAAAATGTTTTGTTATTTACGTCGATAAACACGCGTTAGCTGCTTAGCAACCAGCCCTGTACACAACGCATTAAGAGCGCGTCCATAGCAACAACCGTTAAAATGGTCGAGGCCATTAAAAATAATTTAGCAGACTCTCGGGTTTAGATTTTTGCAGTGCTCATAAGTCTTTGGATAAACATGTTCCACCTGCCCCTTGTTCTTTTGGTCCCGTTTCTTTCAGTTTGACGCATTTACTCCTCTTGTCCCGTTTTATTTCCTCGGCCCATTTGCACGCTTGATCCTTTGTCTAATTGGTCTCCTCTTCCCATTTTCCAATTTTCTCCCCTTACCCACTTCGTCCTTTCCCCGCTTTGTCCTTTTGGTTCTTCAGCGCACTGCGATTGTTATTTAAAAACGGTACCAAGATCCTGTGCCAACAACCCTTGCTACAGAATATAGAGAGTAATGACAATTCTTAACTCATGGAAGTGTTAAACGGGTATTTTGAATAAGTTATAAACTAGCAATTGCAAAAAACATTGTATGTAACACGTCCTCCATTATCTTTAAGGGCGAGGCCGGAAGGTTCTGTGAGGCGGAGTGATAACGGAGCCGAGTAGTTAACGTTCTGGCATAGGACTTGTTTAGGGCTAATTTGGAGGACTTGTTACATAAATAACTATTAAGGGATATGTGACATCCCAAGGCTTTATATTATTGCGAAGGAGTTTGGACAGTAGTTCTACGTAGTTCACATCTTTTCTATTACCAAAGAATTGAATTATGACCTTTTGGAGCGATGTCCGTGCAGCCTTTTGAATACCATTTAAACTTGCCTGAAAGTCATGATCCTTTACAAGCTCCTTTATTTAAGCTTCCACAAGCTATTTTCGTCTCGCTGATCTTCGGGAATGTTTAAGTACAATAGAACCTCGCAAATCTGAAATTTCGGATAATCCGAACAAAATTCGGGATGGGGGAAAAGTAAAAAAAAAAAAAAGTAAAATGCTTATTTGCAGTGTAACGATTGTATTTTATAATTACTGTAGAGCTGAACAACTAATTATTAAACAGAAGTTGTCTAAATGAAACGTTTATTGCACTGATAATTACGGTGTATATCGTATGTTTATGTATCAGTAATTTTCGCTTAGAACTTGCAAAATCGGTAATCTTCTTTTGCTGTAAGGAACTGAATCTGCTTGATGATGCGATCGCTGCGCTACGTAGCATTGTCTGGTAATCCTCTAGATGTATTTGTATATGTACGGTACATTTTTTCGGATAATCCGAAGAGACCACACCCCCAATTAGTTCGGATTACCGGGGTTCTACTGTATAGGAAAACTGGCCCATTGTTATCGATTGTCTTCCCAAAATGTTTCATAAATCAGTTTGATCTTCAAGGGAAGAAGTCATGAGTGTGCATGTGCATACCCACTTTCACATGCAAGTGGTTGCGAAGTTCCATTTTTTTTTTTGTCCACGTATCAAGTGTCTGTGAAACCAGTGCTACTTTTCAAAATTATTCTTGCGATATCTGCTATCCCACTGGCATAAAAAACAAAATGTAGTGTATACTTGTTGGAGACCCAACAAAAGTGCGACATCTTTCAAATCGTTGCATACATTACACAAAAGCTGTTGAAATGTTGTCGATAACGTAAGTTTAATGATGCCATACGTCTTGCATATGGATTGCTTAGGCTAGAGGAATCGCTTATTTCTCGTCTCCAATACGAATAAGCATGGTTTTTAAACTTAGTTTAGAGGAATCTATTCAACCTCCGTTCCATAGGATCATGATGACGATCAACCCACTCAGTAATGCATCGAAATTGGTACAATACACTATTGCCGCCTTCGGAGAATAGGCATTCGAGGTCTTGTTCGTCGATGCACAGTACCCGTGTGGAAGAGGTTCCAACCTTTTTCATTAGGATCCCAACAATTCGGCCCGAATCTTTGAGAAGTTTAGATTTTGATTACGACTAGTAGAATTGTACTGTAGAAATTTCGATTACGAGCGCGATCAAGTTCCCCCTGATTCTCAATAAAGTTCCTACGAGGTTCTGTAGTCGTTCCGCCGAAATCTGGGCCTTCAGTGTCATTTTCTATACTTCTACGCCAGAGTTTTCGGAATGCAAATTCCAATTGCCTGATGGCGCTGAGTTTGGAAGCTCGACGCTCGGATTATGATTTGCGGGAGAACAGGCCTAATATTGAAGATACCTGAAGTACCTGAAAGAAGATTGCGATTTTGAGAATCACAACCATTTTAAACAACTAAATATAAATGTTAATTACAGGAAGTATTTTCAGTGCAAATTCAATCCCTATTTATTATTATTTATTATTATTATTATTATTATTATTATTATTATTATTATTATTATTACCACCTATATGTGTAACTAAGAAGAACAATGTTGTAAGAATTAAAGATAATAGGAATAAAACAGATATTTCATATTTTAAGTATTTCAAATTGCTTTTACAAGGTAGAATGTATGCTGTTTTAAAAATATTGATTTCATTTGTGCAATAAAAAAATGAGAAAGTGCTTTCCTAAGGCCATGAGAAGGTATATCTGAATATTTCATTTGAGACTAATTGAGAATAATAATAATGAAGTTTTGATTAGTAACCTTATTTTACATACCTATAGTTGAACAGTAGTGTATTGTTTAAAAGTGCTACTGTGTTCTGCCATAAAGTGTTAGTAGATGTGTCTTCAAGGAAATGTGTAGTTTGCTAGTGACTAACAGAAGACAGCATCCTATTTTCACTTTCTTAATTCTAGAAGAATTAGTTTGGAAAAGAGGGAACAGATAGTAGTATCTTGTTGTGTTTTTGTATTTGAAAATTGTGTATGTGACAATTGTTTTGTTGACAGATGTGTATAATTTTGATTTATTTTATTGTTAAGACCAACTACTTACATGGTACTGATTGTTTTCTTTTCTTGTTACAATGATGTGTCCTTTAAAGAGAGCTAGGTCAGGTTTGAAGAACTTTTAATCCTAATGTACTCTTTCAAGTAATCTTAGCAGACTTGTGTAACTGAACAATGTGTTCACTGATCTTCTAAACAATACTATAGTGTTGTGACTATTCATTTGTCCCATTTCCACCTCTCAGGATCCTTTTGAGAGTTGTTTTGATACCTTAAGACTTTTTCTTTGTGTACTTGAGATTTGGCCGGACTTAATTTGGTATATTTCGTAAAATGTTGCTGGGAATAAATCATATGATTATGCATATGACTGACAGACTGAAATGAGAAAAACTCAAGAAACAAATTAATATTTTAGTGACAATGGGGAGTAAGCTAAAGGGATTGGAAAATTGAATTCTTTTGACAAGAATTTTGTGCACTGTTTTTGAAACTAAAATGTTTAAAGTAAATATTGCTACTTGGTAATTAATTTGTGTTTTTGTTCTCAGATTTCATGGCTGCAATCAGAAAGAAACTTGTGATAGTAGGAGATGGTGCATGTGGTAAAACTTGCCTTCTCATTGTATTCAGCAAGGATCAGTTTCCTGAAGTATATGTCCCAACTGTGTTTGAAAATTATGTTGCTGATATAGAAGTGGATGGAAAACAAGTATGTATGCAGGAATTGTTTAATAAAGTTATCATTATTTATGGTATTCTAATATGGTGTCATTTTTAACTAGGTTGAGCTAGCACTATGGGATACAGCTGGTCAGGAAGATTATGATCGTCTCCGGCCATTGTCATATCCTGACACAGATGTTATACTCATGTGTTTCTCCATTGACTCTCCAGATTCTTTGGAGAACATTCCAGAAAAATGGACACCCGAAGTTAAACATTTCTGCCCAAATGTCCCAATTATTCTTGTGGGAAATAAGAAGGTTGGGTTCCATAAGTGTTTTTTGTTGATATACAGTATTGTTTGTCAGTTCTTTCTGAGCTGTGGTTTTTAATTTCAGGACTTGCGAAATGATCCAAACACAATTAAAGAGTTGGGGAAAATGAAACAAGAACCAGTGAAACCAGAAGAAGGTAGAGCTATGGCAGAAAAAATTAATGCTTTTGCTTACCTGGAATGCTCTGCAAAAAGTAAGGAAGGTGTACGTGAAGTGTTTGAAACTGCAACTAGAGCTGCTTTGCAGGTATGATCTAATCTGGTGATAAGTAAAAGCATTTACAATCAAAATTTTCGTAATGTTATATTACTTTAATCTTATCCTATGCTTTTGTATGCTTATAGTTAGGTAAACAATATGATGGACACCAAAGTATTACTTTATTCATAAGCAAAGAAAAACAAATATACATCGATAATCAATTACTGTAAATTTGTCATTTATTTTGACTAATAGGGATATTAATATCACAACTTCTGTAATTTTAATTGAATGTTTCCTTCACTGAAATATCATTTTTCCAGGAGATAACCTCTGCAACACTAATATTTCTATTAGTATTTACCGACACATATGCCTGTACATCACCTTTCGTAATTTGTTTGGCAGTTTTTATTTGTCTGTTACGAATTACCACATAACCCTCAGCAAAATTACATGATCTATTCACCATTATGTTTGAGATTCATGATATCAGCTGCACTGTCTGCTAAGGGAGTCGCTGAAGATTCCTCTCTCCATTATATAAAAACTTTGTATTTATCATACTTTTCTTTTGGTTTGATAAGTAGTAAAGCCTCCAGTCTTAGCATCTTCAGTACGTATACTTCTAGGAATTTTTTCAATAATTTCCATTGTACTTTGTCTGCTTCCTACTTTGATCACTTGGCTCAAAAGTAGCATACAACACAATAGTTCACTACCCCTGAAATCAATATACATACAATATGCCACTGAAGTCAATACTACTAATTGTATAGACCAGGGGTTCCCAATGGAGTTCGTATCGACCCCTGGGGGTCATTGAAATTTTGAAAGGGTTGATTGGGGGTCTATAGCCGAATATGAACCAGTGATTGATAGGTATAATGAAGATCCCATTGACCTCAAAAAAATATGAAAGGAACTTTATAATTAATTTCTTTCTGATGAAAAACAACAAATTATATAAATTAAAAATTTTCTTTCATATCAGTTATTTCTCCTTAGGGGTGGGGCGTTCGAGACGTAGCTAGGCTGGTGCAACTGGTGCGCTGCACCAGTCCCCTGAAGTAACAGAATCTTAATAAGGGCCCCTGTGAGTGGATGTCAACAATGAATGAAACAAATTGTAATCTATGCTTATTTTGTCCATTGCACCAGCCATGTTATTACTGCATACCAATGTCACTTAACTCTTAATTTCCCATTCATTGCAGATAGGGGCCCCATTTTGACTTTGTGCTCTGGGCCATCCCAAAACTTAGTTATGCAACTACTTAGGATGTTTAGAAAATAGAAAAAAATATAACAATGTCTACTTAATGATATTCTGTTGCGGAGAAGTGGAGTGAATTTATAATTTATAATAATCTGCTTTGTTACTCTGTATCAGAAAAAAATACTCCCTGCAATACGTACTGGAGAAATGTTTTGGCCACTTAAAAACACTTAAACATTTAGTAACCCTTGCACAACAATTAAGATCAATTAGGAACTCCGCTACTCTTAAGTGAAAGCATCATAAATTATTGAAAATCTAGATATTGATCAAATTGGTGTACTAAATTATCTTAGACATTTATGTTCAGTTATTTATGCTATAAATGTATGGTAAATTATAGATAATAAAGTAAGGGGGGTCAATGAACCCAACAATTATTATAAAGGATTCGATAAATGAAAAAGTTTGAGAATCCTTGACATAGACATCGCTAAAAATAGACTACCCCTACACACTATGTGATTTTTCCGGCAAAAAAAAAACAAATTTATATTGTGAAGCTCTTATATTAAAAAAAGTGTAAATCTTGCTCTTGCTTGTAGTAAATTACTCTTTCTAAGACTTGTGTAGCCAGAATCAACAGTTTATGGGTCCTTGGTGTAAAAAATATTGGTTGATGACAAAACAGGTCTGTCCTTTCATTTCTGTTCAGTGCAAGCACGTTAACCAATATTATACTACTACATGGACCCGCTGAAATGTTTTCAACCAGCAAAACATTTTTCTGCACCGAGACTTGAATTCAGTGTAGCGTCACGGCTTGGCAGCAGCCGAGTGCAAGGTAGAGGGCTGGGGGATCTAAAGATAGACGCCCAAACAAAGACGGGACTTTCCCGACAGGAAATGGTCCGCGGGCCAGGCAGCGCCAGGGAAAGGCTTTCCACCGCGCGGGGGTGGGGAGTAGTGACGTAGGAGGTCAGGTGACCTGGACCTATAAAGACGCCGTGGCGAGACGGCGCGGGTGGGTAACGATTTTGGTTTCCTCGTGGCTAGACCACCCACGTGGCTAGACACCCAACTTTGTCCGCCCAGGCTGGTGCGGAGTGCCGAGGGCACGTGGGTGTTCGACGAGTTCGGACAGGGTGATGTGTTCTTCAAACACATTCGGGCAGATCGTCAATCTGCCGGGGCACACCAGGTGCCTATCTGCGACGCGGCCTTGCAGGCTGGTCGTAGGCGTCGCCGCAAGGCGCACGTAGGGAGAGGAGGGCTGCAGTGGTAGCTCTGGCAAACCGCCTTAGAGTGAGGGATGTAAATATGTACAGTGTGTAAATAAAACTTGTATATACTCACTCGTGTCTGTTTCCTTGTGGTGTAGATCCCTACACACGACGTTACATCAGAACCTCTGTGTCCAATGTTTTGAAAAAACTATTGTTTTCATGCAATTTTTGCTTTGAATTCATGGGGGAATAAATCTCAAACACTTTTTTAATTCTGCCAATAAAACAAGAAATGGTTTAAAAAATGGGCATAGTTCTAATTTTCGTTGAACTTGATGAATTTTTGAAAATTGCGGAAATATTGGAAGAGACTATTATATTTTTAAGCATCGGACGTGAGTGCTTTGTGGTGGGAACATCAGAGGAACTGAATGACGTAACAGTTAAGTGTGTGTGGCATTTTTTTCACAGTTTCATGTACTAGAATAATATTACAGAGGTGTTACAAATAATGTGAGGAAGTGTGTGTGCTCCACTTGTTGTATTGGCAATAGAAATCTCTACCTCGTTTGTTATGAGGCAACACTTAATGGCCATGCTATTTGACATAGAAAAGGCCTACAATGCCACTTGTAGGTATGACATTCTGCAAGCCCTGCAATCTTAAAGATTTACTGCAAGCTGCCCTGTTTCCTCCAAATCGTATTTTGAAAAGATCTTCCTGTGTTCAGATTGCTGATGAGTAGTTTTGCCTCCCTCTAGGAAACTGTATTTGTCATGTGTTGATAGTGAGTTTACCATTGCTATAAATGGTACTGTGTCGGCCGTGAGAGAACCTGAAAAACTTTGTGGATGATTTTGCAAAGGCATCTCCAACTGCTCCTTAATAAACTATACAAATGGAGCATCTCCATTGGCTTCAACTTTTCTCTTAAGAATTCTACTGCTATACACCTCTGCAGGATATACCTCTTGCTTGTCCATTAGTTTCACTCAATCCACAAAGTTCCTCATACTGACATTTTATTAAACTCTCACATGGCCTACCCACATCCCTAAACTGCTAACGAGATTTGTCTCCCCTTTAAATCTTCTGCATATGCTAATTAGTACCTCCTGAGTAGCTGTCTGCCTTTGTCTATTACAGTTACAGAGAGCACTCATCTGCTCAGTTCTGGATTACAATAATGCAGTGTATGGATCAGCATCTCCCTCCTCTCTTAGACCCCTTAAGTGTCCTCCACACCATTATCTACATTTCCACAAGTGTGTTAGCCTGTGAAATCAGTGACATAGAAGTCTGATATTAATATTCCCCCTGTCACAGTGTCAGATTTGAACCCATTTGTGAAATGCTATGTACACCATATTTTCTCCAGCTAGGTGAACCACTAATAAGGGTAAGACGTTAGTCACCTCCTCGAACAGGGAGGAAGTCCCGTGATGCTATTCTACTATCCCCCCTCCCCCCAGACATCACACTGAATGTTAAATTAACTAATGAAAACTTGCAAGCTTTTAAAATTTTTACCCTGTATTTTCAAATGCTTACAAACAGTTTACATTTGCTGACCTACAGAGTCAATACATGCATGAAAGGCAGGTGCTGCAGTTTTTATGTTTTAAACAACTAATTGCAATGAATTTTCACAAATAGTTAATTTAGTTCCAATATATCAAAATATTTGCTCGAAGAATTTAAGTCAAGATGTACTCAACTCCATTTCAAGTTCTGCTTGTATGTGCAGTTATTATTGTGAAAATTATGTGCAGGCCATTTCCATTCCCAGAAAGGGGAGGGTGTTGTATTTTTATTACACTTCTTGGTTCTTGGTTCCCTTGCATGTTTCACTATTCAGCTTTTTTAACTTTCTACCCTCTGTCTTTTACCTTTGGGTTAGCTACGTTTATTTTTCATAATTTCTAATATCTTTTATTTTTTCCAACTTTATACCTTGAGTGAACCATTTCGGAAAAATCATCATTTCCACTATCAACTATAAATTTTTGCTAATGTCTTCCATTACTCATTTTTGCATGTCTTTTCTGCTTCCCCCTTAGCTTTTAAGTTTGCCTTCACTCAGTGAACTTCAGAGGAAATTCATATTTTACTGAATATAATGATAAAATTATATGTAAATTATTTTCTTTCAAAATAGTAATTCCATTCTTTTAATTTTCGTAGGTCAAGAAGAAGAAGAAAGGCAGATGTCGGCTGTTGTAAATGACTGAAGTTAGAGTTGCTAACTGATCCACAGATGCGCATCTTCATTGATTTTCTGAAATGAATACTTCAACTGAAATGATATTTAGGTATCAGCTGTTGCTACAGCCTAATCTTTAAATCTTCATTCATTGTGGAATCAGTACTGTGTTGATTCATGTGCATAATATACACTTTCCTGACATGCTCTAGCTTTTAAATACCATACAGTTTCTGGCTGGAGTTGTTTGTTTAGGCATGTATTGTCACGGTGTTAGGTCTTTGTGGGCATCCTGTTTCTGAAAAGTATCAGGACTGTTTTCATAGGCTCACAATCAGTTCATTTTCCTCGATTTTTTAATACCGACCAAGGCGCTGTCATTTATGTAGATGTTATTGAGTGTGTTTGTATTTTATATATTATTTTATTTGATTATGAACTATATTTTACTTTATTCATAAAATATTCTGAAAAAATATGCATGAACTTCTTTTGAAGATTCTTCTACTCTGCTAATATTACAAATAGAATTTCATATTTTTAAGAGTTACGTGTATGCAGGGATGCTCCTGACAAATTGGTATCAACTAAAACGTCCAGGTGCCTCTAATTAATTATAATCATGTAAGTCTTTGTATTTATGTATCTATCATATGAAACTGAATTCAGTTATAAGGAACCAAATGATTTTTTGAAACTCAAGCCATAGACCTTTGTAATGAATGATGAGTGGGGTTTCCCTTCATATTGTAGGGAAAGAAGAGTGAAACATGTTGGTGGGAATTTGTAGTTGATCCCATTTTCATATTCTCTGTATTCAAGGAATACTAAATATTATTTGCCTCAGCATGATTTATTATTGTATAGATTGCTTTCTGCCAAATGCTTCATTTGTCCTGGATCTTTTTGGGGATCTGATTTTTGTGTACAAAATGTGTAAATTTCAAAGAAAAAAAAAATGCTGCAATGAGAGATTTGTATCTTACGAAGGAGCTAATTTTGTGTCCTGAAGTGAAGATGGGAAGTTATTTTTTTATCCAATGTATAAATATCTGATATACTTTAATGAATACTGTGCATCATTTTAACCTTTTTCCTTTTTTTCATACAAAGCATGATATGAAACTTTCCTTTTTCTTGGATTAAGGTAGTTTTTATGGATATCTACAACTCACATGAGCAAACTTCCAAAGATGCTGCTATGGCAAAAAAGCATCTATTCCAACAGAGTATTTGTATTTACAGTTAGCAATATATGTCTGTTACTACTTATTTCTACACACTGTCCGTTGATATTTCATGTCCTAATTTCCTAAATGTTTGAGTTTGTTAAAATAATACATTTATAAATTTTGTCATAAACCATTGTAACAGGCAACTACCTTTCATCTTAAAACTACTTGTAATGTGCATTCATTCTTACTGCTGGTATTTTGCCATTTATATATTAGAAAACTTAATATAAATGCTGAACTTTTGTACTGAGTTATAGCATAGGCATTTATGCCATGATGTGAGTTCTCTTTTTTCAGTCTTCCGTGCCCAACTGCATTGAATATAACCATTGTGACAGAATAACATTAAGTTTTGCTCTCACTTTGGAATCAAAACAATGAATACCCTGAGCTAAATTGAATATTGTATTAAATGTGGATTTGTTTTGAAAATGTTAATAAAACAAAATTTCTTGTGAATTTTGCCATACTTTTGTCTTGTAAATCACACACACGCATTCTTTAGAAATATTGAATGACAGTTATGAAAGTCAAGAACCAAAAGAGTTTTTTAGTTTCAAGAATCGGAGCAATAATGAAATTGGTTGCTATAAAGCCTATTGATGTTTCAATTATTGTACTTGATACCTTTGTTCTTTTTTGCCCACTAATTTCATGAGAACTTTCATTCTGCCAACAATCCCAAGGATACCTGATTTTCTATTAATCTGTAATAATAAATTTTTGTTTAAAATGTAATATACTTAATACATAAATAATAAATTCAATTTTATATCTTGATATGTTAATACTATAAGTATTATTAAAGAAATCAATTAATGATAAACAATTTCATAATAACAATAAGGATGATTTTTCCCTTCACTAATTGTATCATTCAAATTAAATTGGAGCATTGTTATTTTTTGGCATTGTATTTTTCATTGTTTTATCTATAAATTTATAAAAGCAGTGATCTAAAAAGGGAATGATTAATTGTTGATTTGTCAGTGTTTTATAGTTTATAATAGTACTTTGGTTGATAATTAATTAAAAAAAATATTAATCTTCCTCCTGCTTGACCACAAAGCAACATAATTTGTAATAGTTTTTATATCTACCATAAGTGTAAGAAATTTCATGGTATAATTATCAGCAGAGTCAAAATTTAGACCTTCATAGTTTATGGCAAAACTTTTACGAAGATAAATCTCAGAGTGCTTATGGCAGTGGTTTGGAATCCCAAAGGTAACATTACTACTACCTGTTTCCAAATGGGCAAATGTGCTATTTGAACATTGTTTTTTATTGCACAAAGTACAGGTTTTTTTAAAAGATACTGTCTTAAACACTGCAAGTGGATTATCCAGCATTACTTCTTTGTGATCTAAATGGCTATATTCAGATATTCAAGAGATGTTAATGTTGAAAGTTTCGAACATGCAGTATGAGCTGAAATGAGACATACAAAAGTGTAATAATAAAAATTGGGAAGAACAAGATTAATAGAAAAGTGAGTTTTCACTGAAGTTGATAGCAATTTCCGGTAATATTAAGAGTGCTTTTAGTCAGGTTTGTAGATCAACATTTATTAATTACGTGATCTCAAAACTGTGCTTGCCAGGAAGGTGAAGGACCTTATTCTTTTGATTATTCAACAGTAGATCTTCTCCCCCATCTCATGTACAGTTTTACTTTCTTTTTCATTTACTAAATAAATTGATTAAAGAGTTGATATGGCTTAGTATGTTAGTATCCCCCCTAGTACATACACAGTGAAGTGAAAGTACACTGCTGTTTGTGAAAGTTGCAACATCAAGTAGTCATGTTAAGTGAAATTTATTACACAGATTGGGAATATCACAGTATGCAAATGATTTGAGTTACGGGACTGTACGTGCGTTTTGACCTCGAGTATTTTGTACAGTGTGAAGCCGCCACGCGCTGCCACCAGAGCCTCTAGACATCGCGTCGTGGCATGGATTCAAAAGCAGCCTGTGTATACTGCTGGGAGCATACCTCTACGCAGTTTCTCTGCGTGACAACAAAGCATCGACAGTGGCTGCAGGAGGAGTAGAACGAACAAGTTGCCGGCCGAACATATCCCAGACAATTTCGATAGGCGAATGTGCAGAACAGGGAAACTGGTACCCGTCGTTCTTCGCAGAACGCTTGCACATTCCTTGCCACATGCGGTCGGTCATTGTCCTGCTGAATTATGGCATGTGGAGCTGCTTGCAGGAAGGGCAGTACTTCAGGCTCTAAAACCTCTGATGTAGCGGTTTATCGTGAATACGTATGAGGTGAGATTGTAGCCAATGGCGCCCTAAACCATCACACTTGGCGTTTGTCCGCTATCGCTACAACGGGAAACTGCTCACTAACTAATGTCTAAAAGTGATAAACCGCAAATCGAAAACTTTAGCGAAAAGACGGTAAACCTATTCATAAAGAATGTTTTAGTTAACGACGGCAAACCGTATCATACAATTAAAATTAGAAGACGATAATCCACAAATCCAAATATTTGCTATTCAATATATATTTGCTAAATATCTATAATGTAAATGTACATATCTTTTGTGTTTAAGTCTGCGATTAACAACTTGGTGTACATTTTTAATAATTCCTGGATCAACAGAAGAAAATAAGCTTTGATTGAACTGACAAATCTGCGAGTGAACATTTTGAATAATACCTCGATCAATTAAAGACAAAAAAGCTCTCGCTCAACTAAAATCTGTGAAAGAGACGCTCTTCTAGAAGTAACCTAACGTGCCTGTGGGCGGTTGGTCATGGCAACTTAGACACACAAAAAACAAACACATCGTAGCTCCCAGACTCTAGGAGATATCAAATAACTTCTAGAACTTATTAAAGGCATTAACATAAAAAGTATCATTACAGCCATCAAAAATATAATAAGCATTTTCGAAGGACCCGGATACTTTACCACAAAAGCATTGCCAGCCTTCGAATTAATCTCTGCCTTTTTCTAAATGGCAGATGGCGAAAACACTATACCACACAGCGTCATGGAAAGCCAATGGTACAATTGCCAAAATAAAAAACCCTCGTGGAAAGAATCTCTGAGGATTAAAATGGCCATTTTATTGTTGCAAGAAACCCACCTCACACAAAACCGAAATTTCAATATAAAAGGATACTTAATTTATCGCAACGTCAGACAAACGGGACCAGGCAGAGAACGGCCATTACAATAAGAAGAAGATCGCGCGGCGATGGTGTGACGGTTAGCGTTTCGGACTGTTGTACCCAAGTTGGCGGGTTCAAAGCAGTGGATTTTTAAGGGCGAAAACATCCTTAGTACGCCTTCCTTCGGAGGGGAAGTAAAGCCGGCTGTCCCATGTAGATTTACTTGCATGTAAAAGATCCTCAAGCCTAAATGATGCCTCTGAGCTAAACTCAAATCGCCTGTTTCTCGCCCAGGAAATACCTCCTTTCTCTGCTAGTTGGTGAAAGGAGCGTAGCGAAATTTGCGTGGTCAGACGGAAGAACAGGCCTAATGGCCCGAGTCTGACCACGTAAAATAAGGCATCAATTCAATTCAAGATCGCTGCCACATACTAGACTAACAACACCCCAACTAAATCACTTGGAAGCAACAATAATTGAATTGAGAACTGCCACAGGGTCAGTCTCCTTCGTGTTGACACATAAAAGTTTTCAAAAGCCACTGATATCCGACGAACTATACGCTGTACTACCTACAGACTCCATAATAGTAATGGATGGTGACTTCAACACTAAACGATTAGAATGGGACCGCCGCTATAATTCAAAATCAAGAGATATCGTATATTACACTGTAGTCATCCTTCAATCTCATATCGTCTCCCTTCAGGTCCCACTTATTTATTTAGTCACGTTCCATATGAAATATGAAATTCTCGACCTTGTCATTCAACTCACTTCAACCCACCACGCTCCGATCCCTTCATGAACTCCACTCCGACCATTTTCCTTATTATGAAATTTATCTTGGCGCTTTTCCGTTATCTCTCCAAAACCACAAAAATTCTCCATATATTGTAAAAAGTATGAAGACAGAATATTTCATAAAATTAAAATATCAAAAAATAACCCTAACACCCTTGCAAGATAGAAAATAAACTGGAAAAACTAAATCACATCAAAGTCGCTTGCAAATCAACTTCAACCAAATTAAAAGGCCACAATAGAAAAGACCACAAAGAAAACACTACCTACATATATTTTAAAGCTCACGCAAGAAAGAAGGGCACAGAGAAAATTCTATCACCCATGAGACCCAAAAGATAAATCAGTTTTCCAGAGAACATGTCGAGAAGTATCCCGTTTACTATATGACTAGCGCGCGGAATGGGAAAAGTTTCTAACAACAGCTGACTTCAAAGACAGGATGGACATCTGGAAAGTTCAGAAAGTACTAAAATTCCGTCACCACCCATTTCAAGACCACACAACCTAATAACTTACGACTCAATTAGGAAATCTGAAATGTTTGCTTCCATGCTTCAATCAAGATATACACCGACATCGACCAAAAATCACTACTATATTGTAACGAATATTTCATCACCTGCAGGAATTCGCTGCGCGCGGATTGCGTTATCTGCCAGCGCCCCCCCGAACTGGACGGTTCCAGTCTATTCGCGTGGAAAGTTTGAGCAAGTGCCGGGTACGTCGAGACGAGCGCCGGCCAGGTATAAATGGTATGCAGGGAATTGAGGTCAGCGCAGTGGACCTTGGACAGTGCGTAGGACTGTGCGATAGTGTAGATTGCAGAGAACAGTGTAAATAATCAGAAGAAGTTTACTGTGTAAATAAATAATCAAGAGAACGGAGTCGTGTGTATGAAAAATAATTAAGTGAAAAGCACACGAACTGTGTAATATACTGTGGCGCCATATCTGTCGCCTTGTACAAACGTTACACAATATTAGCCACGTGCATTTCATGCACATGAAATGCATTTCATGCACATGTGACAGCGGGCAACGCTGGCGGGAAAGGGGCGCCGGGCTGAACAATGGCAAACCTAGGGAGCATAAGGGAAGGGGTACCATATCGTGGATGGCCACTTGTGAACCCTTTTTACCACTCGGGGCAAAGTTGTGAACTCCGTAGACTTGCTGGCTGTGGAAAGGCGTCGGCGGAAACAGCGAAATGACGGCGGCGGCGGACGATGACGGCGGAAACAGCAGTTCCGTCAGCCGGCCCAGAAAGTAATATAAGTGGACCCCAGACCTAAACTCCTTCTGATTCTTGGGCGCGTCGGTAGGAAGTCGTGTGGGTTGTGCGCGGCGCTGCATTTCAATGCATAGGCTTCTGAGGCAGGGAACTGAAGCCGACGTTCTACGTCGAGACGGGAGGTGCGGCAAACTCGCTTGTATGCTCACGGAGGCAACTGGTGTATCACACCGAATGAGATACCAAATTATCAGGCCAACGGTGGTGGTGACCAGAAACATTCCTTCTGGTAACGGGTCAATATTGTTTATTGTAATTACTGTAAATAATATTCAGGTGTAGGAGCATATTTCAAATAAATACTCACTAAATTACAAACTGTTCACGTCTGTGATTTATTGCCCCGGCAAAGACGCCACAATACCAGTAAATAGATCAAGTATTTTAGTGTAGCATTAAGAGGCAAAATAAACATCTTTGTTAAAATTTTACCTGTGTGTGTGGGTTTTAATTCACCACCGATAAACGTTACAATATCAACGGTTAATGCATTCTGCTTCACAACAACTTACAAACAAATTACGATGATACAATTATAAATCAAAGTGAACATTCACAAATTTTCGCTGATGAAACAATAAGTATAACAGAAAATTAACTACTAGATCAGACCAAAGCATTTAATATCAATAAAACATGCGGTCCTTAGTTCATAAATAGAGCCATGATTAAAAACTTCAAATCAAAAATGCAATAATGGTTTTCTCCAAATAATAAATGCGTGATTACATATATAAGATATACGTGCTTACAAATACAGGTGCATATATAGGATTACATTTATAGGACGCTTTCCCTCCCCATGGAAGGAGGTTATGATCACAATGCTAAACAAACCTAATAACAATTCAAAAGATCCACAAAATTACCGGCCAATAAGCCTACTTCAACTGTCAAAAATTTTCGAAAGATTACTATTGTCTAAAATGTTATCAAAATTAGAAGAAAACAATGTCATCCCGGCCACGCAGTTTGGATGTCGTAAAGGTCACTCGTCGGCGATTCAAACCCTCCACTTAACATTAGATATATCATTCACCCTTTCTCTCCACTGTGCCCTTCCGACAATATTATTCGGTTATTCACAAGCATTTGACAAGGTAAACCATAGAATACTTCTTGAAAAATGCCATAAATTCATACCCAAACACATCTGTCGTCTTATCCTTCCGAGTCAATTATCAATCCCAACGCTCCTCAACCAAAGTTATCTTAGCTGATGTCCCACAGGGAGCCGTTCTCTCCCCACTACTTTTTTCGCTCTCCATTGACGACCTCCACATTCAACCCATGCTTCGAATTATCAATTTGCCGACGATGAGGCCTTTACTTCTAAATTTGCAAGAACCAACGCAGCGGTCAAAAGATTTCAAGACGCATAAGAAGAGCTAGCAAACTGGAGTAAATTAAACGGATTGAATGATGAATAAAAGTA